TTTTTTTGTTGGACCCTGCGTTGTACCCCTCAAATGCTGGATGCACAACTCACTGTACCTTTCCCTTACGCTGCTTAGCACGTGTGGCCACGGCTTCTGGATCAGGCACCCGGGAAAGACACTCACCCCGCCTTTCACTCCGCAGAGTGGTGGACGGTGTAGTGGCCTCCATAGCAACCATGGAAGAAAAGTGGTAAACTCCAACCGCCACCCCGCACACTTTGCAACGAACCAAGAAGGGGAAGGTCAAGATGAACCCAACGTATTAGACAGTTCGTATGTCTACCACACCCCTGTGCTCGCTGACGAAGTGGTACGCTACCTTAGAGGTGACCACCCCAGAGAGGACAACACGGATGAAGAGTGCCACACAGAAGGACACCACACAGATGGAGTAGAATCACAGGGTGAAGCAAGTCCCCCCTGTTTTTTTATCTCCTCACAGGGGAAGAGAACAGAAGAAAAGGGGAAAGGTACCACTTTCTGGGGGAATATTAAAAATGGAAAAAGCCCAAATGAGGTGGGGACGCAACAAAGGGGTGCTTTTGTTGTCAAGCCCCCTTCATCTACATCTTCCTCACCGATTCCTTCAATTGAGAACACTCCAACTGAGTACTACATCGATGCGACACTGGGAGGTGGAGGACACACGCAGGAGATTTTAAAAAACTTTTCACCAACAAGCAAAGTAATCGCCATAGACAAAGACATAGAATCCATTTATTACAACAAACAGAAGCTGCAACGTTATGTTGATGTGAATAAGCTCACCATGATACACGGTGATTACAGACACATCATTCATCTCCTCCACCGGCATGACCTTCCCCTGTTTGGCAGCTACAGTGGCATTTTACTCGACCTGGGTGCATCCACGCACCAGCTGCGATGTGGCAGGAGGGGATTCAGTTACAAGCACAACGGCCCCCTTGACATGAGCATGGACAAGTACACAGATGAGGAGTACGCCCGGATGTGTAGGGAGAGTGAGGAATGCAGGGGAGACGATTCACATGAGGATTACCAATGCAGCGAGACTAACCAGATTAAGCGGGCCAACTGGGAGAGCCCCCAAACCGAGCCGCAAAAACGAATCGGTGATATCCTCAACACGTACAGCCCTCAACAGTTAAGGTTCATCATGCACACATATGGTCAGGAAAAAAAGGCGTCTAGAATTGCCAAAAAAATTGTACAGTGGAGGAAAACCAGTGGAACTATCAGGACCACATATCAGCTGAGAGACATTGTTCTCTCCACATGCAAAAAAAATTACAAAGCAAATCAAAAGGTCTTGTCCAGGGTGTTTCAGTCATTTCGAATATACATCAACGATGAAATGAAGGCCTTAAAGGAGTTTTTATTATCAAGCTATAAATTGTTAAGGGCAAAAAAAAGACTTGTAGTTATTTCGTATCATTCGCTGGAATACAAGTGCGTGGAAATGTTTGTCCATGGTAGGAAAAACTTGTGGACAAAAATTAATGACGTCGATATAACCCCCAGCGAAGCGGAGTTAAAGGCCAACAAATCTGCACGCTCCGCCAAAATGTCCGTTTTTGAAAAAATTTAGAGGTACCCATTCGTTCAGTTGTCCATATGAAAGTGCGTGGGGGGCTATAACCCATATTCTTATACTACTCTCTGCACATGCATAATGTGCAGTTCCATTTGGCTCTTTTACTCATCCACTGAGATGCGTTTCTTATTATCATATAATTTTTTTTTGTTGTTCTTCGTTTAACGTGCTGGGGAGTGCTTGACCCAGTAGTAATTACACACAACGGCAAACTCGAACGAGAAGGTGTAATAATCTTCACGCTGCGCACCTATCCATGTCATATGTTCTGGCAAGGTGGGGAATGTTTTTCCCCCATGCACACATATTTAAAGAAAGACCCATGCATGTGTTGAGAAATGCTGTCCGCCGTAGCAGGAAAAAAGGTACACATGCGGCAAGATATCTCCCACCCCTTTTTTTATATATTTTTTTAACTTTACAAAAAAAAAACAAAACAAAGCAAACAAGTGTTATATAAATCCCCGTTGCTTGACTAGGACAGTGTGCTCACCTCTTATATGCAGGTGCCTGTCTGTTTCTTCTTATCCTTCCGCCGTAGCCAGTTTTCCGCCTGATGTATTCTGTTCCGTTCATAATTTTCCTTTTGCGATCGGAGAAGCATCGCACTTGCGCCTGTTTCGCGTGGGGGTTATAGGAAGAAAAAGGGGGACAAAGTGTGAAAGGAAGCATTTTGAAAGGAAGGAGGCAGTTTGCGCTGAGGCAGTTCACACGGGTAGAAGTACAAACACATGTGTTAAAGCCATCTTTGCTAAGCTGCGCAGCGAGTGTCCCATATGGCTGGCATGGAAAGCATTTTCCATTGCGCTGCGCGCCTGTAAACCTTACCAAAACTTTTGGCACATTGGCCATTTTTAAGATTATGCTGATGCCGTTCATGTTGTACATCAGAAGGGGCAGAATGAATGAACAAATTAAAGCGATTGGGTTAAAAGCTACAACTCTGCAAATGCGCAAAAGGAGGTGTTCACCCGTTTGGTAAAATTCCACTTGTTCTTATGAAGGGGGATAAGCTATCAAAGTAACGTGCTATAGTCTGCTTTTCCCTTTTAGCGCGGACGTTGGATTTTTTTTCTGCCTGCTTGTGTCCTTGCCTGACGAGAACTGGATCACCGCCACTTGGCCGAAAAGTGTTTAAGATGCCCGAGGGTTTAAAATGGTCACCTGTTCACTTGCTCACTAACTCATTTGTTTACCTGTTTGGCTTTCCCTCTCCCTTCATTTACAACGCGCATGGCGAACGTGAGGATGCTTGCCTTTCCCGCAGCTGGAAACATTTATGTGCATATCTTTTGGCTGTTCATGCGTTTTGGGAAAAAAAAACAAAATCCTCCGCAAACAGCTAGCTGTTTCTCCAGAGATACAAAGATATCGGACATCCGTTCGTTTCGCAAAAAAAAATGTTACACAAAAAAACGGCTTGACTTTTTTGGGCGCACACTTTCACATGAACCGTTCAGGCGCTTAAGATGTGTGGCCCAGCATGTTCTACATGAACAGGTCATAATTTTTACACAAAAAAAAAAAAAAAAAAAAAAAAAAAAAAAATGCACGAATTTTATGTCAACATGGCGTTAACCTTGATCGTTAATTTTTATGAATTTGTTTCCTCATTTGATTTATCCGCATCTAAATAGTTTTTTTTCCTTTTCCTTTGTTTGATTTGTTTTTGACTTTTTTCGTGACTGTCTTGAAGTTCCACATGAACACCCTCTCACATTCACCATAGGCCGCTTTATGTTAACCGTTTTGAGAAGCGTAACAGAGATTCCCCAATCCTCATTTTTTTTCTCTCCTTCACGCAATTAATTTCTGTCCCACTTTGTAACTCCAACAACTGCAATTCGCACAGGTGTGAACCTTTTTTTTTTTTTTTTCTCATTTAAACCGCGTACATATTTTTCCAAAATGGAGAACGCCTTCTACATATACACCAAGAATGAAGCTGATATGGACAGTAGAACTTTTGTAAAAATTTTGAAGGACTCTAGTAAGGCATTCAAAAAGGGGATTTTCCCCGAGGGGCTCATCGTCAGTGCGTAAACGTGTGCATATGCAATGTGTGCCATGTTAATATGCCCCTCTTTTCATGAGCGGTTGGCATGTATTCATGCAAATATGTAAAAAGTTGCGCACATTTTTTTTTCTTTTTGTCCTATTTTGCTGGGCCTTCTTGTTCTCAAATTTTTTATTCTCCCTTTTAATGAAAAAATTTCTCTTCTTGAGAAGCTGGAAAGAGGGGAAAAGGCTACGTGTCTTTCCATTCATACATTGGCTTGTAAAAAAATTGCCATATATCCCATTGGGTAGACATACATAATCGCCTCTTTTTTTCTCCCCCACACTACCCCTTTCTCAGAATTGTTGAACAAAAAACTGACTGCCGTGGATGCGGACCTCACATTCGCGAAAGTTAAAACGAAAGGAGCCAAAAGAATTAACTATGACCAGTTTGTTGAAGCAGTTAAGCATTTAGTAGATAAGCACAAGTTGGATTATGACCAGTTTGTACAAACGTTATCCAATGAAGCTTCCAGTGGACCGATCCTTTATGGTACCAAAGCTGCAAATGTTAGGTTCCATGATGACAAGTCGACCTACACGGGGGTTCACAAGCTGGGCGGACCAACCATCATTGACAAGAACAAGACACACTTTTCTGACATATCCGAAATTACAGATCGTTCGGAATGCAACATACGGGGAGTTAATGTCAGCGTTGAAAAGAATGTGTAGCTCGGGAGACACCAAAAAGGGGAGCGACGAGGAGGGGGTCCTTATTTTGTTTCTACGTTTTTGAGGACAAATTCTACTAAAGGGATGATACCCCCTCACCCGTAGGTTTTATCCCATTTTTGCTTGTCTCTTTATTTTATGCGTAAAAAAAATGATTTTTTTTTTTGGAAAAAGTGCACACCTGCATGTAACGTTCACATGTGAGTATGTATCCCACCCCCCGTGTGTGCACACGGTGCCTGGGATGATTGGAGCAGTGCGCATGAGCCTCTATCTATACATATATATACATATATTTTTGGTTCTTAATTATCCTATTTGGTGGCAAAAACGGCGCAAGTTTTTTTGTGTACTTAAGTTTATGCCCATCCGCCGTGATGTTGCCGCGCTAGTGCTGTATTTTTACCGTGTCTTTTGTTTCGCCTTCTTAACCTGACCTATGCGTGAAAGTAAAACACCCCATGTTGCAAGGTTACCATATGTGCTACTTGTATTGCCCACATGGAGTATATGCGCGCCCAAAAGGTTGCAAGTCCGACTGCTTCACGTTCTATCCCCCTCTCGATGCAATCTGTTAGGCAGCACGTACATGAGTTACCCCTTCAGGTGAATCGTTTTCCTACCTTTTTACGAGAAAAGGAAAACAGGACACACACATTTGGGTTGCAAAATTAAGCGGAGTGACACAGGTGCGCCTCGTTGCCGTGTTAATGAGCACATAGTATTGTAAATGGGGTTAGAGAAAAAAAAAAAAAAAGTAGGAAAATAAAATACGGCATAGTGCTGCACAGTAAGCCGCAACACAGCACGGCGTGTGTGCAAATTAATATTTTTGATGTTAAGCTCAGCAAAATGAATAAGTGCAGATCATGTAGAGGGAGGGAGTAGGACGCGTGTGCAACAGTTGCGCCGGAGCAAACGCCCAAGAATGGGAAACATTTCCAGAGGGGGAAAGCTACTTGTCTGGGTTACTTCGTCGCAGAATTAATGCGAAAAAGGGATGTACGTATGTATGCATACGTCCACACGGGGCACATATTTTATGGTTCCCCTGTTTGTCCGCACGTGGGTATGGGCCACTCCACAGCCGTGCTGCTTCGCCTCTCTTCGTGCAAATTGGAAAAAGTGCGAAAAAAAGGGAAAAAAAAAACAGCAAAAAAAAAAAAAAAATCCCAGTTAAACTTAACAAAACAGCATTGTATACATATATTGCCAATTTACGAAAAAAAAAAAAAAAAAAAAAAGACTTTTCCTATTCCCCCTTCTTTTCCTGTTTCCATTTTTTATCCTTTTTGTCCTGCTTTCCCTTTTTCTGTCTTGTCCCATTTTTTTCAAACCCTATAAACGCTTCTCCCTTTCCGCGTATGTTGCTAAAAAAAAAAATGAGACGAGAAGTACATTTTTTTCCGCTTTGTCATTTGTCTGTTGAATGCTAGTTGCACGTAAATTTCCTTGTCCTATTGTCCTTTCCGTTGTCCTCAAGTCCAAATTGCGCGTTAGCGGGCAACTGGTCACTACTGTTTGATTGTCTATAGGGGTGTCTACATAAGGATATACTCCTCTTTTCCCAACCTCCGTCACATTTGTACGTTTTTTTTTTTTGCTTATTTTTTATATCCCCCTGACTGAGTTGCACTTTCAATTGATTGTCCTGCGGATATACTACTGGTCGTTGAGCGACTTTTCGTTTTTCGCTCCGAATATAAGTTGTAGCCTCCTCAGAGAAGCAAGACCCCTTCACGTGGACAGTCACGAAATTTGGGCATTCTCCTTCATTGTGAGCTGGGAATTATACACCAAGGGGAAGAAACCAAATTTGCCTGAACAGGTCAGAAAAAAAGTTAACCGTTTTGAGGGGTGAACAAAAAAAAAAAAAAAAATTCACAGAAAGTAAGCGCTTCGTTTTATTACCTCCCCCATACTAGTTACCCACTTTACCCCTTGACCAAATGGACGAAATTGATATCCTCAAACAAGACCTAAACACGGAAAAGGTTTTCTATGACTTGAATTGGCACGAATTGGCTTTGGATAGCTCGTTCGACCAGTCCGTTTATGAAAATTTCGAGCGTCTTAAAATTGGTGAACATGGGAAATTACCATATGCCGCACAGGATGATGAAACAAGTGGGAAGGTCAATAATTACCTAGCAGGGGAGTACATGCAAAAGGTGGAGAAAAATAGCATCTGTAGAGATCACGCTGGAGGTGCCCTATTACAAAACCGAACCATGCATGAGAATAAGAAAGCGGACAAAGGGGGTAGGCCAGACAGGTCGGCCAACTCAGGGGATAGCCCGAAACGCCCCCGACGCAGGCGCGACAAAAGGGGTACCTCCAACGACCAAAAATATCACCGGACTGAAGCGGAGCCCATTCCAAGTACCCCCATCCAGTTGTGCACACCGGACGTTTCAAGCCAAAAAAAGAAGCAAGAGGAAATAAAAAAATGTGACTTCATAGAGGAAATCAAATCTCCCCAGTCATGCAGTCCAGTGAACTTTATCCCCCCGGTGAACATCCTTTACGATGAAGAGAAGGTTGTATTTTATTTTTTCATTTCAGGAGACTTACAAAACTTTAACATTTCTTCAAACAATAATTATGTTACAATATCTGGCAGGAAAATCCCGTACGATGCTCACAGATTTGCCAATTATTACTCCCACGAAATCAGCGGGGGCTATTTTGTGCGCAGCTATTTTTTCATGAAGCCGATTCAACAGGAGAAGATTCGTTATGAGCACAGAGACGGGGTCGTCAAGGTGTTTGTCTTCCTTTCCAAGGGAGGGACAGGTTGACGTAGAGGGAGAGGCGTGCATACCGCGCTGCACACGACTGTGTTGTTGCCCCTTTAACCAATACAATACTCCTTTTTTTGTCACAAAAATGTCAACATGTTTTTTTTTTTTTTCCGCCTTAACGAGTTGTGTTTTATATTACTTGGTTGAAAATTACAAAAAAAGAAAAAAATAAATAAAATAAAATAATGAACCAGCTCGAGGTGGGGGTATAAGTGTTGAACGAATAGTGTACAACATACGGTGAGGCAAAATTGCATCAGATGAGATAAAGACGGGATAAAAAGATTTGCATTGAAAAGAGGGAGGTTCCCAGGATGGGAGAGATATATATGTATACGAAAAAAGGGAAAATGGGGGGCGGGAAGAAAAAAAAAAAAAAAAAAAGACAAATATCACACGGGCGTTGCTCCGACGCGTAGAAATATACAAAAAAGGGTGCATAGCGCCACATTGGTTCGTCTCTCTTTCCCCCATTGGGTGGTGGAGATAAGTGCATAACTAATCGGATGATACAAAATAAATAATGTTCAAATAATCAAAGTAATCGTCGTAGTTACTCCTGACGTGTTGCTTTAAGCAGTTCTTCATATTGAGAAGGCTGCTTTCCAAAGGCTCTTCCTTTTTTTGCTTATCCCGCTTGACGTAGTAGTTTATGGTTTTATTGTTCACCACCATGGTTAGCTTTTTCTTGTCTGCGTAAATTTCGAGCACATTGGACTGCTCCTTGCGTAGGTTGTAAATGGACTCGCGAAATATGTAGTTGTTGAAGAGGCTGCACATGGAGCTGATGTTGCTTCCGGGGTAGATGATGATCAGGGTGTACACGTCTCTACAAAGGGGGGTAAAAAGGAATTGTCGCAACAATGAGTTGGTGTGCGGGTGAAGCGTTATAACATTTCAGCGAAGCACGTTTTACATAACGCACACACGCACACACACATATACACAGGGGGGATGGCGCGACGCTACTCACTTGAAGTGCGGGGTGAACTTCTCATGGGGGATGTCAAACTTGCTGAGCGAGTCATACGTCAGAATCATGTTACAGTTGTGCACGGAGAAGCGGTAGAGGTGCTGTTGCTCACTGTTGAGGAATTGGTTGTAGAAGTTATACTCGGACTCGAGCTTAAGCAGAAAGATATTAACGAAGGAATCATGAGAGTTGAATTTGTTTTGCTGGATAATCTTGTAAGCATTGTCCTTTTTGAACTCGATCATATCTTTTCGGTTGTATATAATACAATTGTCTTGAACAACTCGACTGCCCACATAGAGAACGTACAGCCGTTCCTTAGGGGCAACAATTGTATCTCCACGATTCGAAGTTGCCTTTCCATACCCCCTACTGATCCAGGAGGTTTCATCCGGGATCTTCTGGTTAGTGAAGAAGTAACCATAATTGTGAGCATTGTAAAGACTAATGGAGTTAGCATCGAGGAAATATTCATAATTCACATGATACAAAATCCCATTCGCATTAACAAAAAAGGATATGTACATGTTAAATACATGAATTTCTATAAAATCAATTTTGAGGTGGCTATAATTATTCTTAATGTAATGAACCAATTCATACAATTTGAAGTATTCAATAAAAATCATTTTGTTGTTGTGGCAATTTGTGTCTACTCTGTTAACTACATAAATGATTATACCCTTTTGGAAATTTTTTAAAAAAATATTAAAAAAGTAAGAAAGCTCGTGAAAGGAACGTCTTTCCATAATGTTGGACAAATCAATCATGACTGTTTTAGGAGAAGAATTTTTTAAATGATTTTTTAACAATTCAATATAAAATACATCTGAAAAATTGTCTAAATATTTTTCATTGGATATGAATCCAAGTGTCTTATTATATTTTTCATATTCTGAAGCCAGCATATGATTTAATGAACTTAATTTTATTCTATAATATTCCTTTCCAATTTCGTATATATGATTTATGTTTTGTTCATATATATCACTTAAATTCATAGCCTTAGAAAAAATGCTCGATACAATTTTGTGTAAATTTGTAGCATTCAGATTTATATACTTTATGTATTTGCTGATCCCTTTTAATTCCTTTACAGAATTTTGAAAAAACCCATCAATTGTAGTCGTCAAAGTTTTTTCGAATTCGTTTTTTTTATTGTTTAACTTGTCTTCTATTGAATCTTTAAACAAATCATACTCACGCTTTAGATCCTCCATTTCACTTATGAAGCTAGCTGTTTTGACGTCATTCATTTTGAGCAACCTTTCTTCCGTTTCCTTGGACACCTTTAGCGCCTTGAGGAAATTCTCGTACGTCTTCTCGAGGTCCTCCACGTTGCTCTTGAACTCATTGTACAGGAAGGCTAGCGAGTTCACGTACTTCATTATGCGCATCTTTTCGCGTTTGTAGTGGAATGGGTTCAGGACTCGGCTTTTGAAGATGCCTACGGAGGGGGGGCAAGCGGTATCAGGGTGTGGGTTTAACCGCTTTTATACTTTTCTCACTGGGGGATAACGCGCCGCACTCATTAATGTGGGAGGGACGCCCCTCACTGCTTCATGTGGGAGCAGCGCGCGCGGGTGATTTTCTCTCGCAAACTCATCGCGTTGTCATGGCGAACTCAGCGTGTGGTCACGCGCGATCCACTTACCATCATCAATGGAAACATGCTGCGGAAGGAAAACGACACAAAAAAGGAGGAGAAAAACTGAAAGCAGGAGACTCATTTTGGGCTAACGCGGGGGGTAGCCTTTCACTGCTTATGAGTGTAGGCGCACGGGGGTTGTCATTTTGTGCAGGGCTTTATTCGTTATTCCCCTGTTCTGCGCGCTCGCGCGGGATGGGGGGCAGTTAGGGGGGCTCCCAAGATAAAGAAGCACAACGCAGGGAAGCGCAACGAAGAGAAGCGCAGTAGCTAAATGAGGGCCCTCTAAAAATACGAATTCTTCAATGGGGACCGCTCAAGGCGTAAGTTGGTCTCCACGTTTTCTTCTCCCCTTTTCCGTTCAGATAATGCGTCACGCAAAATCACTCTCTGCGTGTTGACCCGCACTACTTTTTTTTTTTTTTTTTTTTTTTTGTATCTCTTGTGTGCCCGTTTGTACACTGTTCGCGTTGACGTGTGGGTAAGCGAAGTGCCTCGCGAGAAGTGCGTTCATTTATGCGCATATAAAAAAAAATATGTTGAATCCTGTTCCCCCTGTGGGGCTTATCCTCTCGCGGCACGGGCAGAGCACCGATCAGTAGAGTCGGCGCTTTGGTTTCTTACAGGCACCCTGTTACAGAACGGGCTGTGGTATAGGGGGAGGGCAATTTTCTTCTCGGTGTGCCCACTGTTGCATGATTGAGTTGTGAAAAAAAAAAAAAAAACAAAAAAAAAAAGGAAAATCAATGCAGCGTCGTTCAACAGAAGTTGGTTCGCATGCTTCACACAACGATATTCACAAAAACATAGTAAAAGTGTTTTCTTATACATATATGCTACCCTTCGCGGGCAGCCCTGCGTGGCTGTCAGAGGCAGCCTGTTTTTTGTGTTAAACTTGTCCAGCTCACTAGCATGACCGGTTGGTCGATTTACCCCCCTTACGGGCTCATAATCAGGGGGAAACAAAAAAAAAAAAAAAGAAAAAAGGCGAAGACGCATATGAACTGCGTAAGGGGGGGGGGCACGAACATGTAAACTTCCTTCAACCCCTCCTCACAACAGTATTTAAGAGTAGAGCCCCTCCTGATCTCTTCCCTCAGGCTGTTGCAAATATGGAAGTCGTTCATTTTAAGTGCCCTTTCACCTTGGTAAACTCGTACAAAATGTTCAAATTTTTTACAAGAGCAGGGTACGCATTTCCCTGGTCCCTGGTCACAGCCTCTTCCAGAGTCTGCATAGATTTGTTCACGTCATTGTTAAAAAAGTAGGTGACTGCAAGGTTGTTGGTGTATATGGCGTAGTCGTTTTCCAGGTGTCCTCTTTTTTTCTCCGTTGTGAGATTTGGTGAAATGGATATAATTTTTTGCATTGCAGATGGGTAATCCTGGAGGTAGAGATTAAAGAAAGTAGCATTTGTTAATGTGTGTGCTTGAGTTACGGCATCCTGGGCAGGTACTTCTCCAGTGGAAGGACCCGCCCCACCTGTTAAATGCTCAACCAAGTCGAAGGACCTCCCCGCAGAGTCCATTGCCCCCATAAGCAAATACAATTTTCCAATTAAGGATATGGTGATAATGTGGTTTGCATCATATTTCAATATTTTTTCCTTCAGAAGGTGAATGGCTTGCTCGACGTAATTCTTCTTAAGCAAGAGGTCACAGAGGACGTAGCACGAGACAGCGATGTTGTGCAGGATGACCTTCTTCCGTTCCACTGCCGCATTTTCACCATCATCATCATGTATGATGGTTGTGTAGCGGGGGGATTTGGACGAGACGTCGTGCTGCCCCTTAGTGCTTCCCACCTGAGCGGTGCACTCATGAAGCAACTTCTCATAGTGCAATATTAAGAGATAAAGCCGGTCAAAGGACGTGAAGTAGAGATTGAGCGTGTAAGGGTAGTAGCAGTTAATCAGTCTTAGGAGGAAGGAAATCATGGATCCACTTTTTTTTTTATATTTCCCTTCGACATGTTCAAAGTTGTAATTTTTTTTATCCAAATTACCAAGCGAATTAAGGTCACTGGAAACGGAGCGATAATTATTTAATCTTAAACTGCAATATATTTTTATGGTCATCAAGGTCAGGTGTTCAAATGGGTGTTCCTTCAGAGCGGGTATTACACCACTCAGATACTCCTCGCAACTTCTAAACTTATTCTCACGAATGTAATTTAGGGACATGCTCAGATATGCTTTTGTTCTTTTGTTTACCTCCTCGTCAACGTTTATGTGGCCTATGAGTAGGCCCTCTTCCAGGGGGTACAAATCGAATCCTTCTTCGCTCATGTTGCACACTACACTTATGTATTATTGAGACAGCGGGACACACCTGTCACTGTGGTTTATGCATACATATGTGTACTGGACATACGTGTGTTTATCTTGTGTTCGTTACACTTGGGCAATCGCTACAATATCCTTCCTCATCCTTACGGAGAATGTTTGTTAAGTTTTTTTTCCATTCAAATGATGATACGCATTTATGTACCGCTCTGTAGGGGGCTACTGCGTTTTGTTTTTTTGGTGTGTAGCGTCTGTAAGGAGGGTATCCCTGTACCGACTTTTGTGTGCATATAGATTGAATATGTTTCATCCCCTTTATTACGCGGTTTCGCTTTTTCTTTTTTTTATCATTTTTGTATGTATCCCATGATGAGCAGCACAGAATAGTGGGGGGGAGAGACGGAAGCCAGGAATACGGTTTAGGATGAGCTGTCGTATCACGGGGTGGAGAACAGAACTTAAACAACTTATATCACTTTTTTTTTTTTGGTGCCTCACTTATAACTAGGGAATTGCCTTTCATTATCACGAATGGCTCTGTAACGTGTTCCTTGGCAATTATGATTTTGTTTTTTTTTTACCACATTGGAGAGGAATACTAACCACACTCCATTAGTGTTGTCAGCGGAGGATTTTTTTTTCTTTTTTTTTTTTTTT